CATTATCATTAACTGTAGGACAGACTTTTTTTTTTATAAGGACTTTCCCAATTTTTCCAGAAACGATCTATTTCTGTCCCAGGACCCCATCCAGGGTACAACTTCACACTTAGTCATAGCGCCTTCCGAGTCTCTCCGGCGCTGTGACAATTCATCACAATCTTCATGACCTTGACAGTCAGCTATTTCTGGGCATGTCCTTCAATCTGGGTTTGTCTGATGCTTTTCTGGTGATTAAACTGGAATTATGGGTTTGGGGACAAAGTCCTCAGAGGACAGGTGCCTTTCTCATCAGGCCATATCAGGAACCCGACGCATCCATGACTCATGGCTAATGAGGCTTTTTTGTCACCCGGTAAATAAAGTATCTGTTGAGTTTCTTCAGTGTTAGTCACCCATTGGTTAGTATGACCATGGGATTTTTTAAATTTATTTTTAAATTGTTTTTAAATTTATCTTTATTGTTGAAAATATTACAGATGTCCCCTCTTTTCCCCACCCTGCACCTACTCCCTGCCCCAGGCCTTCACCACACTATGGTCTCTATTTTTAGTTTTTTTAAATTATTTTTTAAAAATATGCCTTTATTGATTTCAGAGAGAGGAAGGGAGAGGGAGAGAGAGAGAGGAACATCAATGATGAGTGGGAGTCATTGATCGGCTGCCTCCCACATGCCCCCTGCTGGGCATGTGCCCTGACTGCGAATCGAACCAAATCGAACCGTAATCTCCTGGTTCATGGGTTGACGCTCAACCGCTGAGCCACGCTGGTCGGGCACCATGGCATTTTTTTTCTTAAATTCTCACTTCTCAAAATGCCTAAAGTTTATTTATTTCTTACTTTTATCGGGTTTCTTTTTTCCTGTTTTCAATTTATACCTAATTTAATTTCATTCTTGTTTTTTCTCCCCCCCCAAATAAAATTCTCAGATACCACATTCCTCATACAACTCTCTTGCTTAAATTCGGAGGCTGTTCTGGGTTGGGATGAAAGGAACGCCACACTTTGAGTATCTCCGAGGTGTGAGGAAATGTAATAAATATTTTATATACATTTCCTAATTACATTTCACAGGAGCACTCTAAATTAAATATTAACGGACCGTTTTCTTCAATTGGAGAAACCAATTTTCCCGAGGCCACAGTTAGACAGTAAGTAATAAAACAGGTTGAATAGAAACAAAATTCTTTAGCTAGACGTTCCCGATCACCCACAAACTTCTCCAGTCTGAGCCTTGCCACCCTACTACAGCGACCCACCGCGTACAGAAGAACAGATCTGTGCCCTGCAGCAGGGGCATTTCCTAAACGTCAGGGCCTCCTACATTCGCTCCTGTAGCCCCCGCTCTCCAAGTGGGCTCCCCAAATATCTCTTATCTACGCAGCCTGGCTGATGACCAACCACCTCCTCCAGGAAGCACTCAGTGATTACTACAGCCCACAACAATGTTTGCCCCCTTGCGCTGAATGTGCTGTTTCCAGCCGTCACAGGTCCTGGGTGGTGTCTGTGCTCCCCACTGTCTCCAGCTTGATAAACAGGGTTCTAGCCTGTCCCTGAGCCACACCATGGAGAGTGAAAGGGAGGGTGGGG